CCCCAAAACCCCAAAACCCCAAAACCCCAAAACCCCGTTGTCAAGAGTAATTCTAAATAATGTCAATTTATGAAAATAAATTAAGCTAATTTATGTATGTTTAAATATCTAAAACTATTAAATTCAATAGCTTTTTAAACTTTAAAGGTCTTAAATAATGTTTCATTTATTTGTAAAATTAATTTTCTTCTAAATGCCTAGAATACTAATTTCTAATTACATTGGTAATCTTTATAATTTCTTAAATATAAGAACCCATTCCATTTTCTTTTTCTTGCCAATTTTTTGGAGAATATAAATAGCTAGAATAGTTGTCCAAATTTAATCATAATTTTCTTGCTTTGTAATCTATTATACCAAATGATTTAATATTTCTCTAATAATTTCAAAGAATAAGTAAATCTACTCTTTAATAAAAGATTGAATTATTTCTATAGTTTTATAAAAGCCGATGGTTCTAAGTCTTTTTATAAAATCACCAAGAGCAAATTACTCTCTATCTTGCTTTTTATTATCAAGTATTTTACCAGATTTTAGATTATGCTAATCCTTAGTACTTTAAATTTTACTATCTCTCTTATGAGCAAAATGTACTGACATTCTCCTTTAAGAAGAACCGATTTCTAATCTAAATGGTTTCTATTAATATATATTTTGACTTTATTTAGAAATTTTGCTTATAAGTTACTGTCTTGCTAGATGACCTCCTTGATATTATCTGCTCATATATTTTTCATCTTTAGATGCTGTATTCATAATATTGCTGTACTATAAATTTGATTTAGCTCTTAGCGAAATTAGTGCTGTTCCACTAAGTTAATTCTATTTGTCATAATCATTATTCTCTTCTTCTAAATCTGAATCTTATTCAATATCTTCATCAATTTCTTCTGAACTTTATTCATAGTAATTTTGCCATCTACTTTAAATTTTACCTTTCTCTAAGTTTTCTAATTCTTTCTCAATGTTTGCAATTTATTTTATCATCTCATTCGATTTTTAATGTTTCTATGTGAAAATTGATTAATTTTAATATTAGTTTTAAACCTTGCTGGTAAATTATGATCTAAATCTTTGAAACATTTTTTCCTGTTTACTCTGAGGACTTAGAATTCGGGGAGATAGTCTTAAAGGTGATAAATTTGTCAGAAATACTTCTGAACTATCTTTTGATATCTATCGCTTAGATTTTTTCTTTCTATATCTACTGCCCAAACCAATTTCTTCTACTTTTTATGGAGACTAGGATTATTATGAATCACTTGAGGTTTTATATTTCGAGTAAAAATCTGCCAGTTTGAATCTATTAGGACTATCCTTTAATCTTTTTTTTATTATTTGTCTCGAAGAGCTATAGTTACGCTGAGAGCTTTTTTCTAAAATTTAAAACCCAATCTCTTTAATACTTTTTTCATTTGTCAAATCTTAACTTTTAGGTGGTTCGCTGCTTTCAGATGATAGATAGATTTAATCTCTCTCTCCAATCTCAATAAGTTTGATCTAGCCATAAACTTACTAATCATTCTTATAGACAGCAAGAAAAGATGTTTGCTTGCTCATTATTTAATACTTCAATGAGATATTCTAAGTAATCTCTTCTTTTTGCTTCAAAGTTATAGATTCATCTTGTGTTAATTAATTTACGTAAAATCTTGCTGCTATCCTAAATAAATCTTCACCTTTATCTATAGATTTAAAGCTTTTGGATGACCAAATATGCTTTATACCTCTTTTAGTTTGAGGATGAAAATCACTCCTCATTGAAACAAATAATTTTTCAAATTAGTCTTTGTCTACTATTGCAAAATGCTGAAATAACTCATTTCTATAAATTTCATAACCACGCTAAGATTATTCTCTTTAAAACTAATATCTCATCGAGTTAGCATGAAGAAAGGGTTTATTGGAGAATGAGATTTTACAGCCATTATAAGGCGTATTAATTGCTCTGTTAAGTGCACTAATTATAGATGCTTTAAGGTCTCTGTTATTTATTATTATACTATAAGAGCCTTTTCCTTTAATTGCAATTTCTTTTACAAACTCCTAGTCACAATCTTCCCCAAATCCTAAGGTATGAATCTTAATATCATGAGGGGATTTCGAAACTGTTCAGATAATTTATTATCTCCTATTGTCTTTACCATCTGTAAGCAAAAATATCTTCTTGTTTTTAGTTGTTATTAGACCTTCAATTGCCTTTTGAAGAGGATTAATTAGATTTTTACCTAGGATATTAGCTTTGAATTTATTAACTTTATCAACAGCATAATTCAAGTTTGTGCTATCATTGAGTAAACCCTCATAATTAGAAATGCTTTCACATAATTCTCCAAAACTTATAATTTCAAAAGAAGAATTTAAAGGCAAGGATTTTAAGAAAATTATTAGAGCTTGTTTTGAAAGTTGAATCTTTTCCCCCTCCATTGTTATACTTCTATCCACAAGAAAAATATATATTTCATCTCCGAGAGGTTCAAACTGAATATCTTGGGGTTATGGAATATCATTCTCTAGCAAAACTAAATCCTCTTCATTAGCTATTTATTCTATCATTTGAGGAATCATAGAAATCATCAAAGCAATCTAATTAGGATAAGCATTTGATTCTTAGCAGTATAATGAAACATGTTCAATTTATTGAGTTCTGTAATAAATTATTAAATTCTTTTCTAGACATAATACACTCTTTCCTTCTTTCACAATTTTAATAAGAAAAAGCTCAGAATCATTAGTCATTTTAATCACCTCACCATGAGTTGGATAGCTTACGTAATTAATTGGGATGTCAGAGAAAATTTCAATCTAAAAATGATAGTCATAAGCGTATTTTTCGCATTCATATTTTGGAAAGTAATAAACAGGCATCTTGAAGCAGTAAGCTCCCCCTTCTATCTCAAGTACATTATAAAACTAAAAGTTAAGAGTAGCGCTTTATTTAGGTAGCAAGTTTCCAATCAGAAGTTAAATTGAATCTTATTTCATTTCATTTTCTTCAGCCAAAACTGCTGTTTTTCCTTATGCAATGGCATCATCATACTATTGCCTAGCTTATTTTTTCCTTAAAATTTTACCCTCTATTATTTAATCACCTATTTGAACACTAAGATTTCCAATAGCATAATCTTCTTGAATTGGAAGATGAAGAACTATTTCTAATGGCATTTCTTTATTATTGTAATAAGTTTGAATTATATTGATTGAAGCAATCGAGTTATATATCTTTCCCAATATGATTTGATTCCTTAGTGGCAATGCAATCTTTTTTTGGTTAATTATAGAGTAAATTTAGCATCATTGGATATCAATATTGTCAAGTGATTATGAGGAAGCTGAGGAACTTGAAGAGCTTAATGAACTTAAAGAGCTTGATAATTTTTTAGAATTTGATGAGCTTGATTTCATTTTTATGCTTACTTTTAATAACTTTAAGTTTCTAATTAAACTTTATAAATTTATTTATTATCAAATAATTTGTCCTTTTTTAAATATATTATACATTTAACTCATGGGGTTTTGGGGTTTTGGGG